CTGTTAGGCTCAAAGTAGAGTAGAGGCGAAGGTCCTGTTACCTTGCCGACGACAATAGTTGATCTGTCTGAATTCGTCCATCAGGTTCCATCACGATGAGCTTGGGTGGAACCATCCTTTTCCGTCACGTTTCTGCACCCATCGAGGGACCTCAATGCGAGTCTCAACGGTGACACCTCCCACAATCTGCCATCACTCTTCGTCTGTCACATAAATTGAGAGTTGCGTCATTCAGTATTGCATCACACCATAGAACATCACCACACAACTCACAACACATATATACAGCATCCCACCATGAGCAGATCTCCGGAAGAAATGCTTGCCCTCTACGAAAAGCAATGCCGCGTAAAGGCGAGAAAGCAAAAGGAAGTCGAAGAATTCACAACCTGGATGGCGCATCACTTGAAGCGCAGCAAGGAAATGAAGCAGAATCCTCCCCCAAAAGTGACTCCAAAGACAATAACAGGCCCCATCCATCCAGCCCACGAAGTGTTCCTTCAATGGCAACGTAAAAAAAGTGATGAAGATTGGGTCCTCTCACAAATGAAGCTTGTAGTAAGCGATGAGGAACGTACGGACGAAGAACTACAGGAAGACGTTCAAGAGTTGCTACGCTTTGATGGAGACACGGTTTCCCCTGAGTTTATTGAAAAGTGCAAACGGCATGCCGAGAAGCACGCCTTGGAGGAGTTTGGACGCAAACTTTCATTGTAATGCATATCCTTTTACTATACAGCACGAACAACAATCAAACAAAACCAATACTATAGATCACCAGATTATTTCATAAAACACCACTGCTCTTGCCAACTATATAGCTATTTTAGTTTACCTGTACTGTAGATTTCTGTTTTCCACTGGCAAATTGTTTGTATTCATTCGGTCACCGTCTGTTCTCTTGTTTGCACAAGCAAGTAATTAAGTAAGCTATTTCACAGATAGATAGGAGGTCCTCTACTAAAGCGACGAATTAGCTTTTCGTGGACCGTCACACCGATTTGGCGGCATCCATTGTGTCAAGTCTCATTTCTTGGCAGCCATCTCGACGATGGCCTTGCTGGTCCATGGTCGCTCCACCACACAATCATTCGTTCCAACATAATATTATACGAAGAAACAAGCTGACTGTAAAGGCCTTTCACAGATAGCATCGCTCGAACGTGCTTCATGAATGAATGAATGAATGAATGAATGAATGAATGAATGAATGAATGAATGAATGAATGAATGAATGAATGAATGAATGAATGAATGAGCCAGGGCTGGCTAGAGCATCCTGGTGCTTTGCCAATGCATGCAACGTCGCTTCCTCCTACTGTATCGTACGGTGGGTATGACCGCGGTGGAGCCTCCTGTGGTGTGTGATTAGTTAGACAACCGTCGAGTCACTCGGAAGGGACATGCTCTCTTCGATATGCACAAGCAAGATGCACTGTAGCACTCTCTAGCTAGCTAGCTGGTCGGAGTGTCTCTTCTAAAACCACCTTGAGATGCTTCAAAGTTCGAGAGATTACTACGGTGTTGTGTAAGTTTTGAAAACAGCTCTGCCGAGTTAATCTTTTTGGATCTTCCTCTCTCCTCTCTTCCTGTCCCTCTTCCTCGGCCATTGCCCTTGCCCTCTCGCCCTCGCCTTTGGATTGAGAGAGTGTACACGTAACAAAGCCAAGCCAAGCCAAGAAGGAAGAGATGAACGCGTTGAACGCGTTGGACCAGCTGTGGGAATTGCTGTGTTTGAACCCCAAGGAATTCGATATTGCCATTCTACGGAGTCCGGATGACAATACTAAGAATCCGTTTGTCCTGCAAGAGGGTCACTTGGGATTGCACGCGGGAGATTTGCCGTGGTTGGCCCGTGACTTTCGAACGGCGTATCGAACTGCAAGACTCCAAGACTGTGATAGCGTATTGAAAGTGACGAGTTGTCTGTTGCTGGTGTGTCCCGATCATGCCACGGCGTGGGCCGATCGCAAACGAGCTCTACTATCAGTGCAATGCCATGAGGATCTGTGGACACGAGAATTGGACTTTGTCAATCTGCTCATGACACGTCACACCAAAGCACCCACCAGTTGGTTCCATCGAAAGTTTGTCTTGCAGCAAAGAATCCTTCAGCTGCTGTCCGCATTGCCGCCACCGCCGCCACCCAATGATGATCATGATGACCAGGAGAATACTTTCTCTACTACATGTACTACAACTACAACATGCATATATAGTAACATGGTTCAACTGGCACGAGACGAAATCCAAATTTGTGCCAGAATCGCCGACCGATATCCCAAAAATTACTACGCGTGGACTCATCGCAGCCAAATGCTGCAAAAGATTCATCACATGCTCCAGGACGATTCGACATCCGGTACACGTACTTTGGCCGACCACTACACGCAGTTGCTACAAGACCAATGGCAATCCACCACGCGCTGGTTGCAATCCCATGTCAGCGATCATTCCGCCGCTCATTATGGAGGAATGGTATTGCAGTTACTTCGACGGCAACAACTACAACAACACAATCCGCAGGATCATCATCAAGTTCCAGACAACGATACTACACAGCTTGTACACGCCATGATGATCAGTTCCATCACTGTGGCCCAACAACTCGTGGAACGGCATCCCTCCCATGAAGTTCTATGGATCTTTCGACGCATTTGCAACCACGAATTCCTATGCTATGCCATGGCAATCACAGATGATGAAGATGATGACGACAACACAGCCCTACTTTTAAACTCCTCTTATTGGAAGGATCACATTGACATTATCTTCTGCGTGGAGGGAAATAATCATGACAACAGTCTGGAAGCACAACGGACGCAACTCTATCAGCTATCGTACGTGGCGTGGATGCTGGAAGACGTGGGGCGACTCGCCAAACGGTTCGACAGCTGGAATGACTTGGTTCGTCGGGTGCGATTGTTGCAGGGAGTGACCCAACAAGAATACCAGACTCTGAGAAATACAGTGCTCACCCAATTACGAGAACGAAAGGAGACGATTCCGTTCTATCAGCAGCAGCAGCATCCGCAGGTCTAGGGAGCTAGCTACTGCGACGTCTGGACACAACACCAACATCACCACATATCTGCAGATTTGCTCCTACAAGCCAGGGATTTCGTCGTGTATTTGGGCAGCTCCATTGCTGTGAGCCCCATTCACGCTGTTCCCTCTGCTCCTTGGAAAGCTCACCAGCTATAGCTAGAGTGCGGTGGCTGATTAATTAATTACTGCATCGAATGCATGACGCTAAAGATGGGGAATCTGCTATACGATTGCTACAGAGGCTGAGATCGATTCGATTCCATCCGTGTCAAGCTCTCGGATCAACATCAGGAGGTGCCGTTGAGACAAAGTCGACAAGCAGCCAATGGACCGTCTGGGACGATCTCGTTGTTTTGATTTTCATTGTAGATCTACTACTGGTACCGATATGTCATTCAATTTATGTGGTCATCCCCGGCCATTGATTGGGCTTTAAAATAAAAAGTTTAGTCCAAACGAGATTTTAAAAGATTGCGTCTGTGACTTGCTTGTATTGTAGTACCATATCATACTGGTCTAGCTAGTCTAGCTAACAGATATTTGCGGACGCAATCATTCGACCATAATATGTACCACGACAAGTAATAAGCGGTTTCCACCATCGATCAGGCTCCGACTTGGAGGAGGAGGGGAAGCGAACGAACCTGGCCAGAGCTCCGTACTGGCACCCTATTTGCGTGTCAACAAATACGAGCACGTCCACGTTTAAACGTGGTGCTTCTGCTGGGAGCGGTACCACAAAAGATAGCAGCGTTACCTAAAGATATACCGGTAGTATCGGTACGCCATAAGCTACTGACCGGGTGCTACTTTAGTTAGGCATGGTTCATGCTATATTGAAAGAAGTGACTAGCTAGCTAGCAAGTAATGTATGTTTTCGTAGCTGAAGCTGTTGTTGGTTCTCTAGCAGCTTTGGTTTTTAAAATGGAAATTGGAAATTGTACAAATCTATCTATCATTTATTTATGCATTGTTGGTTGGTTGTTTTTGTTTTCTTTATGCCGCCGCTGCAATATTTCCTTGTTCACACGGTCGTAGTGGCATGTACTGGACAAAGAATTCGTAATCAAATGCCAAATTGGCTTCTTCTTCTGGTTGTGATTGGGCATGTGGAAACGCGAGAAAGATGCGTTGAATCCAATCGACACAGGCTTGTGTGGCGGCGGTATTGCTAAAACAGGAATGGACATGTCCCATGTTGTTGTAAAGACACAAGAGGAGCATTTGTTGATCTTTTAATGCCAACGCAGATCCTTCGACCATGGAAAAGGCGAGTTCGTACAATTGCAGTGCCGTTTGCAATTCTCCCGATTTGCCTTGTCGCAGACCAAGATGATGATGACAGACGGCCATGTTGAAAAAGAGGGTCACCAAGAGGGAATTTTGGAATTGGAGGAGGGAAGTGTCCACTGTGTTGTTGTTATCATCGCTAGTAGAGATAGTAGAAGTAGTTTGTTGAAGAGAAGCAGGAGACAATGTCATCATGCGATGGAAAAAGGAAAAGGTGCCATTGTTACTCTGCGCGGCCGCGTTGGTTTTGCACGTGTCAAGAGGAACACTTTGGAACTGCGGGGTGGCCGTGGTAGCGCAAGTCGGTGGATGGGAAGCAGCGGCGGCCAAATAAACTTGATTGGACGACATGGCTTGTAGAGATCCTTGCAGCTGTTGCAAAGCATAGCGAAAGATCTCCAAACACTCGGATGGCTTGTCCTGCAGAATGCGCGTCAAGGCGACATTGTTCATGGCCAGAATGTGGCCCGCAGAGGAAATCTTGGGAGTATCAGTATCAGTAGTCATGGTATACTAGTACTCTGTAGATAGTTAGTGGGAGCGAGCTGTAGTAGTGGGTTGGTTGGTGGTGTGGCTTTTGGGTTCTGGATGATTGAGGATTGTGAGACTTTCAAAGGGCAGAGACTGATCAGGCGAGGTGGTTACCCGGTACCTGGTACCCGCTCTAGCCAGCTAGCGCTTGCTGTGAGTAATCTTAGAAGAGCTCGTAGAAAGAACATTGAGAGCAGTGCCACCGATCAGTAGCTAGATCTAGCTAGTCTTCAACCGGCGAAGTTGCCTCCGGTGGGCCTCTTAGCGGACAATCTGATCTTTACACCGGCGAAGCACTCGCTACTGTAGTGCTACTGTACACTGGTACTGGAGTCTCCATTGGAAAATGGCAGAGAAGGCTGCTTCTAAAGGTGAGGCAATTCATGTATTAGAGGTCAGAGGCAAAGAAGGAGGATCCATTTTTGAGGAACTAAGGTGGGCGCTTTCCTCGATGCCAAACTGAGTTCGGATTATTTCTACTACGGTACCGGTAGCAGTTGCAAAAACACTGGTGCTGTACGTGCTTTTGGAGCTCTTTAGGTCGCAAACAGGGCTCGCACCATTGACCATTACCAGTGCCACAGGACATGAAAAGAAATATCTGTCGTTTGGATTCAGAAATGAACCTCTGTATACAATGCCTCTAGCTAGAAACACGAGCTAGCTAGATAGACCTTGGGCATCCAGCATTGTTGCAGCATCAATGGAGGGAGCTCCAATGACCATACTGATTTGGCATCATTGGAGCGATGTTGTTGGTACCACCGCCAATCAACAAAGTATCAGAAAGACACAGTCCAACCAAAACTCAAAAGACAGCATGGATATCAGCCATTTATGAATTGTGTCTATACAGTACAGGCACTTGAGAGAGGGGACAACAATGCTCTATCCACGCGCACTGCATGCAGGAGTGTCATTGACGCAGCGTTTGAGGTTCCAACCCCGCCCCGCCCACACAATCAACTCAACTCTAGTAGCTGGCTAGCCAGGGATAGACTAGATCTAGTAGAACCATCAGTCGGACAAGATAGAGAAGATAGGTACGACCTTGATGTCTCACTCCACTGTTCAAAACCATCTCAAGCCATGTCTCGACACTGAAACATTTATTTGGCGATTTAAGAAGATTGATGTTTACCTTGGCATTTGATGAGACAGGTTTTAGACATAAAGACCGAAGTTCAGCTGAAGTTCATACTTGCCTGGACGTTCACCTTCAAAATGGCATCTGGAAAAGTTCAGCGTGAGAGTAAACCAGGTTGAGAGCATATTTTATCGCGTTATATTTCAGCTTCGTGGGGTACAATACAATTAGAGAACCTTGTTTACCACACTAACACCCAAACCTTGCAGAAGCATCAGTCATTTCCGAAAGAATGAAAAGAGAAACCAATCTCTCTAGCTTCTCGTTGTCTTCTTTTCACTACTGAGTACTGAAGGTAGGTAGGAAAGAGACTCACTCCTACGGAATCCAAAGCAAAGCCACCACTTCCTTACGTAGAGTTCTCCAAGCGTTTTGGTACCTAAATAGGGCAATAAATAATACCATCGATCTTTGAGGCAGGGGCACTCAGTCAAAAGGGTCAATAAATACCGAGGCCCGATACAACTTCACTTCAAGAGAACTGCAACAGCAAATGTCCCCAGAGAATGTTGGTAGACGAAGAAGTAGACGATCAAACCTGCCAGTTCGGTCGTAGTATTGACACTTACTTTTTGAGCTACTAATGATCCAGTTAGGTCTTGAAGCGGACTTTTACAAAGAGCCTTTGCGCTTTGCAGCACCGCGTACCTGCTGTCTACTCTGAGTACTCCGGGCCATTTTTGGTGCAACAAGGAAACTGGTCCCTTATGTAGAATCGAGCCGGCCGTATCCATAATGAATATCATATAAAAAAGCCACTTCAATCGAGTTTGCTCACAGGACATAGTTCCTTTTAGCTGTTTTCAGTAAAACCAAATTGTCTAAGTCTTACTGATTTCAGCGATACCTCATACTTATAAGCTGTTTCGGCTGTGGCGACCTGACCGGTACTCACAATATGGCTGTTTAAAAGCAAGTCTGTTAGCTTAAGCCATATTCAGAAACATATTAAGTGTTATATATGACTGCATAGAGGAAAGAATTAGCTTTCAAACAAGCCATCACTCGGCCTCTAACTATATCATGTTGAAGTTTCCGATCTGTTCTCCGGACGGTTGCACGAAAAACGGCCCGGAGAGTACTACTCTAGCTAGGAGTACTCAATACACCATAGCAATAGAATTGCCTCTACATGTATTGGTGGCATTAAAAGTATACGACGGGTTGGCGACGACGGCATTTTTAACATGTTGGCCATTGTCAAGAACTCTGCCATTTTCTGGTCTTGACTTTGCAAGTGTTTGTAGTGTTGCCATGTTTCAGTGGTCATACCTCGGTCCTTCGATGCTTTGGCAACTGTGGTGTGTGGTGTGTGGTGCGTCGCAGAGATAGGTGGTCTTGGACCTTTTGTTTGCTGTAGAAAGACGGCAACTTAAAAGTAAGTGAGCTCCTATTGCGTCGTGGGTCGCCATGTCATGGTTGCTTTTTGTAAAGGGTGCTACTAGGTAGCGGATGACGAATTGTATATTGTGCAAGTAGGTGAGCATGGTAGCAAGCCAGCTAAGTACAGTGTGAGTTGTCCTGTCACCGGTGATTCCTCGCACGAAAACTTGCTGTTCCACTAGCTAGCTAGTACTCGCTTGTTAGCACTCAGAGCAGCCAGCCAACAGACAAAAGGTGCTGCGGAAGGAGTGCTACCGCTGGCTAGCTAGTAGGTAGCTAGAATAGTCGCAAACAAGAGAGACAAATTGCAAGTTGACCGTCTGCTTAGCCTGACGTTGAGCCTAGTACAGGCTCGCATATCCAGAATTCTCCATGTATCTATTATGATACCTCCTTCCTTGCCACTCTGGCCGTGCCTCTACTACTAGCTAGCCTACTAGCTAGCCAACATCCATCGTTGCAATGCACCTCATCAATATCAGCTTCCGTTGCTTGAGAGCCTGCCAGACACACCAAAACTCGACAGAGCCGAGCCAGCCAGTCACACTGGGCACCACTACGATACCACATGCACACCGCTAAAAGAAGCCCTTCCAATTTCCTTTTTTTTGTAGTTCAAGTTCACGTTTTATACAGTTTTAGTTTGCTTGTGGAAACCACATGTAGCGTCAATCCAAACTGAATCAAGTCTTAATAAATAAGCTTCATTGCCAAATGCTATCTCTTGGTTGTGACCATCCGTCATCAGTCATCGCAATCAATCCTTGCGCTATCCTTTCTTCTCCATCCCTTGAGTTTTTTCGCTCTCTCTGCAGCCTTCGATTCTTGCTTCTTCCGATGCGCTTCCTCTTGCTTAAGCGCTTCCAATTTCATGCTCGAAAGCATCATAGCTTTGTAGTCCTCAAAGTTACCCTTCCACTTTTCAACCTTCTGGTTTCCCACCACCCAGAGCTCACAGTTGCAAGCATCAATCAACCTCTGGTCGTGGGTGACCACAACCAGGCCTCCGTTAAACGCGTTGATGGCTTCCACAAGAGCGTCGATAGTTTCCAAATCCAAGTTGTTGGTGGGTTCATCAAGCAGCAAGATGTGGGGTGCCTCTAGGGTGAGGTCCGCAAAGACTACCCGAGCCTTTTGACCACCACTAAGATCCCGTATGGGGATTTCATGTGCGTGTCGCCCCAGCCCGAATGTGCCCAGAATCTTGCATACGTCCTGGTAGCCCTCTTCTTTGTGTCTTTCGCGCAGAAACTCCGTTGGGGTCTTGTGGCCAGGGAGAACATCGGATGCGTGCTGATTGAAAGTGCCGAGCCGAAGCCTGGGATTCCTCCTTACCTCGCCCTTTGATGCCACGACCTGTCCTGTTAACATCTTAATCAGAGTCGATTTGCCTGTCCCGTTGAGGCCAGCAACGCATATCCTACTTTCCATTCCAATACTGAAGTCAATGTCACGGAATATAATCGGGTCGACACCGGAATATCGGAAGCTCGCTCTCGTCACGTCCAAAACGCTCCCACGGAGACTTGGGACATCTGCGAATTCCAGATACACTCTGTAGTCTCTGGGACGCTTGACGAGCTCCGCTCCGCCGCCCTTAGTTTTGCTCCCTTGTTTCCGCTGGGCGTTCCAGGCTTTCGACAGCTTCTGGAACTTGAGCGTCTGTTCCCTCTTGAAAGTATCATAATTTCCCTTGTAGGAAAGGAGCTTTTTGTCTTCGATATGGAGAATCTCTTGACAGACGCCATTCAAAAAAGCTTGGTCGTGGCTCACAATCAGAAGCGTGCTCTGTAAGGCCTGTAAGTAATCGTCAAGCCAAATCACGGCATTCAGATCTAGATGATTTGTAGGCTCGTCCAGCATGAGCAACTTCGGCTGCAGGAATAGTGCCCTTGCAAGGGATATGCGCATTCTCCAGCCACCAGAAAAGAGTCTCGTTGGCTTGTTCTGCATCTCAGTGTCAAAGCCCAATCCGTGAAGCAATCTCCGGGCCTTCCCTTCGTTTGCATCAGCTCCGATGCTACTCAACTCCGAGTGCACTTCTTGAAGCCTTTGTAACTCGGAAGCGTCGTAGTTTTCCGAATCCAGTTTTCCTCCAACTCCTTTTCTTCTTGTAACAGCGCCCAATGTTGCTTGTTGGCCTTCATCACCGCGTTGATTGCCGGTGTATCATCTATCTGCAAGCACCTCCTGTTCCACGTAGAGATGATCGATGCGTGGTGGAATATTCAACTTCCCTGTCGCAATCATTTTGAGCAAGGTCGATTTGCCGTGCCCGTTGGGGGCCACCAGTCCATACCGTCTCCCCTGAGTAAGAGAGAGGGCCGCATCATCGAACAGAGTCTTCCCCGCTGCACTGATGCTAAACGAAGGGACACTGACGTTAAGCGAGTTCTTCCACTGTTGAGAATCTTCTACCGGGGTCTGAGAGCAAGCAAATTGAGCTCCTTCCAACGAACCCTGGACCGCCAGAGCGGACGCTTCAGCTTGCTGTGCAGCAGCCAAAGCCATTTTTTCTTTCTTTCTTCTTTCCCTTCTGCTCAGCTTCTTGCCAGCAGGAGAAGTCTCGGAAATCTGCCTTTGCTCTTTCCCGGCGAGACGTTCAACTGCCTTTTTGCGTTCTCCGACGACAACCACTTCTGTGTCGCCGCCGCCCGTGCAAGTGAAATCTAATTTCTTCTCGACTTGGGTCGGTTCTACTGCTTGCGCCATCGCAGCATCCATCAAGCAATGTAATTGCGTTCTCTTTCTGTCACTTCCGACACGCTTCCTGCGTCCAAAACGGACTTCAATTTCCTTTCTCATCGTCTGATTGTTTGGTTCCTTTGTTCCTAGTAGAGTTTTCGTTTTCTTTGGTTGGGGGTTTGTTTTTGTTTGCCTGGATTCTGTGTTCATCGAAGTGGTTTTTGTGTGGGGTTGTAACGTACCAGAACTCTTCCTCGACATCAGCACGTCTGGATTTTGCATCCACGGTTTCACTTGGGGAAGAGAGCTTGGTGGTGGTGTGGGGACCACGATTGGCAGGATTGGCTGAGTCCTGGTCAACTGTTCAGGAGTGGATGGATCAGGCTTCTCTTCAATAGGAACCCACGCCTCGCCAACCGCACACTAAACTGACCTCTCACCAGACATGTGGGAAGAGGTAGTCTAATGGTTCGTAAAATATCGTGTACGGTGCATTATATCGCGGGGTTTAGAGTAGGTGGATTATCTACGAAGCGGTACATTGCATTACAGGTTGCCCTTCCCTTCTGCTCAAGCAAGCCCTTGGCCAGTCTCGGCATAAAAGACACTGCCGGTACTACTTGGACTCGCCACCCAAGCTGGTGATTGTTCCATCTACTCCAAATAATTTTTGATCATGTCCTTGTCACCCTCTACTCCGCATGACTGATAATATTCTTGTTGAGAGTCATCAGATTGTTAGGGTCGTACTTCTTCTTGGCTCCCTCCAAGAAGGAACGTTGCTCATCCGTAAAGAACTTGATGCGGCGACCATCTGTATCACAAAAGTTGTGAGGTCCATCCTCTCCTCCCAGCTCAACAATCTTGGCCTTGATCCGCTTCGTCCAATCTTTGACCGCTTGGATGTCTTCCTCACTGGCCCAAGGGTCCCACTCTCCATTAACGACCACCCAGGCTTGAGCCTTGCGATGGCGCAAGGAGGATTTGCTGCCATCGTTCCGCCTCATTTCTCCGGTCAATCCCAGGACCAAAATGGCAGAACCGCGCTTATTCTTCTTGGGATAATCCACTCGAGCAAAGTGGATGAGGGCATCGCGCATGGCTTCGTCAAAACTGTACACCATGGCTCCCAATGCCACGCCAAAGGTTCTTTTCTGGAGAGGCTCCAGCATGACAGTGACCTCTTCAATGTAGTCCTTTCGTCCCAGATCGTTGCTGATTTTGAACCAGGCACCATCCAGCTTGCAAATTCGTTGAAAGAATGGCACTTCGGCTACTTCTTTGGGTGTATCCGGACCGATCATGGTCAAGACGTTGGCAAAGACGGGAGCTCCAGCAGGCAAGGCACAAATGGAGTAGCACTCATCTGGAATATCCTCCAGACATTCTGCATAATGGGTGAATACTCTCTTGATGGAGTTCATAGTCGGACACATTTGTACGACGGTCCCTCCAAGCACATTGGAAACATCGTATATTTTGAAGGTCCATTCCACCACCACGCCAAAGTTACCTCCACCGCCTCGCAATGCTCGCAGCAAATCGGCGTGCTCATTGTCGTCCGTCGCAGTCACCAATTCTCCAGAAGGCAAGACCACTTTCGCTGCCGTCACAGTGTCACATCCGTATCCCGCCGTACCTCCCAAGTAGCCGGCGCCTCCGGCCATGGTCAATCCCGAAATTCCAGTGTCACCATTGGTACCAGTTGCAAATCCATATCCGGTGCCCTTGAGTGCGGCGTGCGCGTCCTCGATTTTGGCACCTCCTCCAATCGTCATACAGAGGGCATCGGTATCCACCACACACTCGTTCAGATTCTTCATGTCTACCACGATACTGTGATCGACCATGCAGTAGGCCGAGTGACAACCACCCGCAATGCAGAGTTTGTATTTGGCAGTATCGAGAGACGCGACAAACTTGACTGCTTCACAGACATCCTCATGAGTCTTGACAAGAACAATGGCACTGGGATAGTTGGCATCGTTCAAGTAAAAGGGGCGCTCGCGGTGCTCATGATAAATCTCGTCCGCCGTGGAAGAAGTTTCGTCGGCGCCCAACTTGGGAGCAAGGACGACCTGTCCTTGGATCTTTTCGTTGAGCGACTCCAACGCTGCCACAATAGGCTCAATGTGCTCTCTAGCACCCTTGATGCGATCGTCGTTGCGAGGCTTGACGGTAGGCGGTGGTTTGGAGAAAGCGGATCCCATGGTTGGATTTTTTTAAGTATTGCGTCGAGTAACTTCTAAAACTTGATTTTGATAAGAGTGACACAATAATCCAAGTCTGTGTTGTTTTGTGGCTACTTTTCAGCTTCTTGCTTTCGCTGCGGCAAAGTGACGCGAATGGATCACTTCTGGTGATGCTTTTGGAGCATTATTTAACCTCCGAGCAAGAAGGGGGAGGCGTTGAGAACCGCTTACGAATATTATTTACTCATTTTCTGAATGGTTAAAACCCGTACTGGTACCTGGTACACCGGTACGGTACTGGTACATCGTACGGTGCACGACGAAGAGAAGAAGGCTTCTTGATTTATTTGATTTTACCTGTCTGGGGGAGCTTCTGGGGGTGGGCAAACTTCATGGCGCTTCATTGCATTGGTTACACATAATACATGTACGCACCCCGAAAGCTACGGGTACATTGATTTAGTTTGGTTTGAGGCACTCCCTAGGTGTCCTGAGCGGTACATGTACCGTACTGAGTACCGATGCCAGCATAGCTCCATCCAATCTACCGTACATGATGTATGCATACTTGTACATCGTACCAGTACCGTACCATTCCAAGTAGACCCCGGTCCAGCTAGGGTACCGCGCTTGTCGTCCATGAAGCGATGATCATGAAGGCAATCTTTTAAAAGTTGCTACTTGGGTTTTACCACCGACTCGAATCGAATCTGCAAATTGATGCGACAAGGCCATAAAGCTTCAAGCTTCTACTGTGCTGGCTACTAGTAGTAGTAGTAGTAGTAGTAGTAGTAGTAGTAATAGTAGACTACGTACATGTTGTAACCATTGAAGCGATATCGACATAAAACTGCCTATCCTTTTACCAACCAAACATGGAACACGGTTGGCAGGATTGGTTGAGGGGATGAATGGATGAGGCTCCGAAGCAAACCCACACCAACCTCGCACTAACTAGACTAACCTTTCACACTGCATGCAACCATCTCGAAAGACCCAAGCCATGTGGTTCGTAAAAGGTCGTGGCTATTTCAGGTTGCCCTTCCTTCTGCCTAGCTAGCTAAGCAAAGCACTTGGTCTGGACGAAGTCTCGGCCTTAAAAACTCTTGGACTCGCCACCCAGCTCGTAAAGGGGTTCCCCCATTTCTTGATTGAATTGGAATGCCGCCAAGCATGTAGTTGCGTTGCATGTCACTCCTCACAGTTATCACTATTATCACAGCAGGTGCATTGCACCTCACAATCTACAATGAGCCTCGAAAGTTGTTGAAACCGCAACCCTCGTTCAGCGCACACGGCCGAAGAGATGCTCCCAGTCAACAGATTCCCCTGGATTTGCAGCGTTTCTGGGTGTTTGGGATCCATACCGGTATCCGCAAAGCATTAGCAAAAAGGGTACATTCAACAACCACACACACAACGAAGAACCTACCAAGTGCAGTCAAATGGTCAAATGCTTCTGGCACTGGACCACTGAAAGCGTTGAAATTCAAGAAGAGGTCCATGAGAGAAGCATTGAGCTGTCGAATAGCTTCATGGATTGTTCCCGAGAAACCAGCATTTTCGAGGTTGAGCTCTGACAAATCGGTTAATTCAAAGAGCTCTTGAGGAAGTGACCCCTCAAGGCCGGTAAACCCCATTTGTACAACGCTCAAACTAGTCAACTGGGATATCAGAGGAGAAATTCCACCAGATATGCCAGCATTTTCCCGAAGCGAAAGGGAACGAAGATTGGTCAAAGAGAAGAGGGCATCAGGGATGGATCCTACGATCCGGTTGCGCTGGATCTCAAGGTTTACTGCAAAGGAACGAAGGTTTAGTTAGTTAGTCAGTCAAGTGCGGTACATGTATTACAACGTCTTTTCCGCATTTCTGATCCCAGCAAGCGTCTCTCTCTTACCAAGGTTTGTGAGGTTGCCCATGCCAATTGGAATGGTTCCAGTGATAGCGTTGAATGGAAGTTGCAGATCATGGAGCCTGGAAGCTTTGGTAATGCCGTTTGGAATAGGACCACTGAACTGGTTTCCGCCCAAGGCGAGCAAACCCAAACCTTGGTTCATTTCAAGGATGCCCGTGGGAATAGCACCCTCCAGTCGATTATCAGGAAGGGCAATACTCTCCAAGCTCGTCAAGCTGCCAAATGCAACATCCAAATCTCCACTCAAAGCGTTCTCGGGGGCCAAGAATCTCTTCAAGCCAGCCAATAACGACAGCTCGGCAGGTAAAATTCCATTCAAATCAATGCCTGTTGCAGGAAAGCTAATTTGGAAAATAGCACCACTCTCGTCGCAACTCAAACTGAACCATTCACACTCGTCTGTGACAGACAACCACTGCGTGTCACCGCAACTAGGCGAATTCTTTCCGCAAAACTTCCAATTATCTCCCCCTGTTGCGTGATAGAACACAGCCAAGGCATATCTTTGCAGGAGCTTGGGCTCTTCAATGGACAAGCCCATGCTGAATGCGTAGCTATCCCCTTCCGCAACCCAGACGGCGGCCCGGTACTGAGGGGAACCAGGGTCCTCAAACACCCCTGCGGAAGTTACTTGCAGTGTTTCCAAGTACTGAATGACAGCAGGAACCGCTGTAGTAGTTGGTGCTCCCGTAATCCTACCAATAGCCTCGGGCGAGGGTGTTGGTGCCGATGCATCCGGCGGGTTGGCTTGAAGCTCAGTGGAAACAAGAACAAGGCCCTTTGTGGATTCATCGTCAAGCGTGTTGCTTGTGTTTCCTAGAAGGAGTGCCAGTTCCAGTGGAAAGCTCCCAGTAAATTTGTTGTCTCGCAGATCCAAACGCTCTAGCTGACTCAACAGAGCAATCTCCGATGGAATGGATGTGACCAGGTCATTGGAAGACAGATCCAGCGAAATCAGCAATGTCAATTTGCCTACTGCAGTAGGAATTTGCCCGGAAAGTTTATTCCTTGCGAGCGCCAATTCAGAGAGCTGTGAAAGTTCCCCCAAGCGAGACGGTATGGTTCCGCTGATTCGGTTGCCGCCGATGGATAGAAGCTCCATCTTGGTCAGCGCCATCAACTCGGAGGGGATGGTTGACTCTAAATCATTTTGGTCCAAAGAGACAAAGTTGAGGTTGGTCAGCAATCCCAATTCAGAAGGGATTGGACCATCGAGATCGTTACGATCTGCCGAAAGTTTCGTCAGAGATACAAGCTCGCTTATCTCCGAGGGAAGCTCCCCATACAGGTCATTTCCAATGAGGTCCACGATTGTCAATTCTTTCAGCAAGGCAATTTCCGATGGAATGAACCCCGGATCTGTCGCGGCTCGTTCCAGATCCAACACCCGGTACCGTCCGCCCACACTACACCGCGGCTTTTGACGATCGATATCCGGCAATGGCCATTCACATTCGTGTGTGTTGGCATCGAGCCAATCCGCCGGTGCATTCATGGCAAATGACAGCGTTGCCAATGCCAGCAATTGATCCGCTCTCCATGGCTCGAAAGTGCCCGCTTCCGGATGATTCTCCACCCATTCCCGTGCTTGTCGTCGTGCCATGTCACGATCGACAATGGCTGCCTGCTCCTCGGGAGACGAAGAAGAGGATGACAACACCACAGAGACACTGATGATAACCACCAAAACAACCAGGACGACGAGAATGGCAAGGATGACTTTCATTCGTCGGTCACAAATCAAATCCGGAATTTCGACTTCATGTGCCTCTACTAGAATCTTGTCGCTGTCATCCCTGTCTTCTTCTTCTTCGTCGTCGGGTACCAAAGTAGCCACCACCATGAGTGCAGATGGATCTCTCACGGAATCAGCCGGTCTCACGGAAGCCGTTTCCTCGTCAGTTTCAGATTTACGTTTCGTAGTAGTAGTGCCCTCCTCTGCGGCCACGCCCTGTCCATGATTTGGAGATGCAGGCGGTTCTTCGTGTCGAGTGGGTGCAGGTACTGTGATGCTGCTTCGAGATACAGCAGAGACAGCTCCAGGGTTGTTGGCAGCAGCAGCAGCAGCATTTCGAAGCCCCTTTTTCTTTCTGTTTGTGTTCTGAGGCCTTCTGTTGTAGGAGGAGGAGTGGATTCGGATTTTTGTTGGCTCGCATGTAGTTGTGCATCTTCTGATCCTTGGCCACTGCTGCTATTGGACACTGCAGACACAGCTCCGGGGTGGTTCGTGGGCGCATTATTACTTCGGAGCCCCTTTTCCCTTTGAGGTGACTTTGGAGCAGCAGACATGGATGCGGATGGTTGGTTCCCAGAACCGGCTTGTTGGCTCGTCGCCCCATTCGGTTCCATTACCGGGACCGCACCAGGGTTTTGGGCCGCACGATTTCGCAGGCCCTTTTGCTTTCGCGGCGATGAGTTTGCCATGGTGCTGGAGGACGGTGGCATGGGGGCACTGACGGTCCTTCGTGCTGGCTCCTTGGCCGATCCATCCCTGGCCGCAGCAGGTGGAGCCACAAGCACGTCTGGATGAATTTCGACTGTTGTGGACGAGAATCTTACGCGAGAGGATGACTGTTGCGAGGAGTCTCCCATGACGCTCATCATGGATACATCTTTGATCTCCATAGTAGATGTCCCACCACGGAACTGTTTCATGCGCTCTTGGATATCCTTCTTGAGATCCAATAGAGTGGTTCGGTCCTTCATTTGAAAGACGGCAGTTTCACTTTCTTCTTCTTCTCCATCATCGTCATCCTCGTCGTCGTCTGCTTGCATCTGGAGTCTCAATAAAGCTTTTTGGCTAGTCTTTTTATTGACTTCAATATTCTGGATGATTCCCCAAAAGACGCGATAGCGAAGCTTGGTTTCCCCATCTTTACTCGGGCTGTCGTTTGCCTTTAGTAGAAGATGATTCAGTCCCAACATCCACTATGGGATTGACTGCTACAGAAGATAAAGGATTCCCACTGAAGGCGCATGATCCAGGAGGAGCAATGTGCAGGTTTGAACCAAAGAAGAAACTAGATAGCCAACCTAAGCTCACAATTCAAATCTAAGCAAAGTTGTAAACCAAACTACTTTCTACTACCTTGAAGGTACATAATCCCTGCAGACGTCAGCATCAAGGATCCCTTGGTTCGACGAAAGATCACTTCATCGTACAGGGTCTTGCCAGTACTTCCTCTTGCACTACTACTACTAATAGTATTTGTCTTGCTCATCCTTTCATACTAGTATTGTGTTCTGTCTCTAGCTCTAGACATGTCCTTGTGGGCACCGTGTTAGGATTGTGCGTGTCGTGTGCTGAGGAGGGAAGCAATCGCGCTGCGAGGGAAGGTTTATTCCCGTACGGTACCGGTATTGATGTGCTTATCTCTTTCAGTACGCGACCAAAGAAAAAGATATATTAGTATTCCCTGGTACCCGTACCGGTACATGTTGTGTTTAAAATACTCAAGCGCACCTTGCACTACCGTACGATGTTCACGCCCTCTACGGCCTCCCACCGCCCCGGCAGGTACGGTACCAGAGGTCCAAGATAAGACGGGTCAGAAGTTATCTACAAAAGCAAATGTGGGGGTCAGGCTTGGGCAAAGAAGAGGAAGAAATTTGGGACTCTGTTCCATGCATGCCTGGGATAGGGGCGACAGATTGGGTTTGATATCTTCAGCTCCATTTTAGTAGCCAGCTATATGCATATATCCAGCCATGCAGAAGCGGACATGGAGGTTGCTACAGAATGTAATCAAATAAATCTAATCTGGTACCTCTACATCTATCTATCTGTCTGTCTATCGAGCTATAATGGTCACTTTATAGGAGCCTCTCATCCAATCATCCAATCAAAAATAAATGCTGCGTTTCAATCCAATACTGGCTGATTTCTTCAAGTTGAAGTACACGTAACTCAACGATTATGAGTTATGAGGCTTACAGGTTATCTATCAAGGTTCGAGGCACATGCAGACCGGTACCGGTACTACTAGCTAGTACATGGTACATGGAGGAATGTGTGACATACGTCAGAAGCTCATTACAGGCGCCTTAGGAGTGATTGTAAGTAAGACATTTTTTAGAAGACAACTAAGACGTCTTATCTATCTCCGAAGCCATTGTTGCGTTCTCTGGCGAGCTTCCCCAATGCAAGATTACTCCGATGCCTTATCTTGAGGGACTCTTGGGGGTACTGTCCTCATAACGCAGAGAAAAGAAAAAATATTCGGTGTACTACTGTTTGTATGCAAAGTGATCTTAAAAGCAGATGGACTTAAGAACCAAATCAGATCCATGCTTCTGGTCATTATACCTGAGTTCAGATGACCACTGACCACTGACCACTGACCACTTACCTGTACTGCACGTGTAAATCGGAGGACGTTGATTCTTGATTCATTCCCTTTTTCTGAGCACTGTATTTTCGAGCTTCCTGAAACTTGTCAAAATTAAAATTGCCAGGGAACAGACATGGTGGGGGCAATGACTGACTTCCTTTCGAAATCGGCTGATAAATCCATCAGTCATTTTCGAATCAGCTGACAAACCCCGAAACTGGCTGATAAATCCAAAACCGGGTGATAAGCTGATAACCATTATTTTATTCTGTGTAGGTTTTAATCTCCTTTCCCGACGACATAAGAATTCTGGTCATTACATCAGAGTTCAGAAGCCCTGGCCATATACTGTACGTGTAAATCGGAGGGGGATAATTGAATAATTCCCTCTTCACTGACCACTATGAATTATGAAACTTGTCAAATTTCGGTTCACCAGGTTTTCGAGAAGCAGAGACATTATTATTTCGCAAAAGTGGGTCTCACTGTCTTGTCGCTGCAACCAGGGGCAGTTAGTTAGACGTCAGTCATTCCCCCTCCTTTCCAGTCTTTTCTCTTTCCGAGCTTTTTTTCTTTCCAAGCTAGCTAGCCAAACGTTTTAAAAAAGAGGTTCCAGTACCACAAAGTCACAATGCCACAATACCACAATCCCAAACCAACGCAGCTAACACACTAACGATAACCCGTTTATTTTAATACCAAACTCCATTGCAGCATTGTACGATGGGCCGTCCAAATACTTTTCTGACAGCCAAGTCCGCGGACCTCGAAGAATCAAGATTTGATGATTCAAATATTGATCCTTCCTCCCGTTCCTCTCCTTCCTCCCCGTCCCGCTCTGGTTGGGGGGCCTCCGTGCCATCGGCATTCATTTTTTCCCTGGGCTGCATCACCGCGGCTGCCTTTGTTTGGTTCGGCGTGTCCGCTGCGATTGACGAGCAGAATGCCGAGTTTCAGCGGTCTGCCGCCGACACCACCAACAAACTCCAAGACGCCTTTGAAGACTACTCCCAAGCGGCCAGCACTGTCCACATGCGCTGCCGCCACCGCAACTTTACCCGTCAAGACTTTCGTGAGGCCTTTGAATACCTCATGGACGGCGGACTCCGCTTCAAGGCCGTCCAATTCAACCCCATGTTCACGCACGCCGAGCGCCCCGGTGCGGAGGAGGAAGCCCGGGCCTATTACGCAGAACACTATCCCCACGTGGACTATCAGGGCTTTCGCGGGTTCAACTACCCCAACTCGACCACCTTGGAACCTCGGATTGAACAGCCTTTTTATTTCCCCATTCACTACCAAGAACCCGTGGTCGGAAACGAGGCCGCCATTGACTTGGACTACCATTCTTCGGAGTCGCGCACCCGCGCCGTCGATGCCTTGTTTGAAACCAAAGGTCCCTCGCTCACCGATCGTCTGTCCCTTGTCAAGAAGAAGGGTGAAGTCAGTCGCTGTGGAGCACACAATGGACCTTCCTACGGGGTGGTACTCATGCATCCCGGCGTGGAATTGTCTCAACCTCAACCAGGGGATGAAGTCTGGCCCCGGGATTTTTCGACTATTGTCCTTTGCGTCCCGGACTTGTTGGCGCGATCTATCGCCGGCCAGTCCAAGTCCTCCTTTATCTATATCCATGACCAGTCGACTCCTGGCGCTGAAGATGGCGAACCCGTCTTTATGGGTGGAGCGCAGGTGGAAATCGCAGACTTTCATCAGAAGGTTGACTTTTTAGATGAAGTCAAGTTGTCCGAGTTGTCCGCCAAGCTCAAGGAACAAAGCAGTATCACTGTTGCCAACCGCGTTTGGACAGTGACGGTCTTGTCCATGGATGACACCTATGAACCGGACATTCTCTTTGTCTGTTTGGGTGGAGCCTTCGTCTTGTTGGGGAGTGTCTTTCTGGCCATTTGGGTCTACACCTGGAAACAAGCCCAGTACATGCAAGTCCTGGCCACAGCCGAGCGGTCTACCGCCATTGTCACCTCGCTCTTCCCAAAGAACGTGGCCAAGCAAATGATGGACTACGACGTCGCTGATCGGGAGGGTTGTGCTGATACGAAGAGCAAGCCCATTGCTGATCTATTCCCCAGCGCCACCATCATCTTTGCAGACATGGTAGGGTTCACGGAATGGAGTTCCATGCGAGAACCTACTGATGTCTTTCTCCTTTTAGAAACGGTGTACGCCGCCTTCGATGAGATTGCTGCTAGGCGAAGTAAGTTCCACAACGATGGTAGCCATTCCAGGCTACTACTGTCGTTCAATTCTAAATCTCACGGCTTGTGCCCTTCTCGCCTTCTCTTTTCCACAGAGGTTTTCAAAGTAGAGACCATTGGTGACTGCTATGTGGCTGTCTGTGGGCTCCCTGAGCCTTGCAAAAATCATGCTGTGGTAAGTAGTACAATAGGGTTGAAGATAGCAGGGCTGCAGCCATGTTGTGGAGTCGACTACAGCTCACCTGATCCTCTTATCGTTTTCCAAATTGATCACCACAGGTTATGGCGCGCTTTGCCCATGAGTGTGCCTGTATATCCAAATCTGTCCTACGTGGGCTTGAGGCAGAACTTGGGCCCGAGACTTCCACACTCGACTTCCGGGTTGGCTTGCATAGTGGTGCTGTCACCGGTGGAGTCTTGAGAGGACAGCGTGCAAGGTTCCAACTGTTTGGAGACACTGTCAATACTGCTGCAAGGATGGAAAGTACTGGCAAAAAGGGAGCGATTCATGTATCCACTGCAACAGCCGATCTCATCAGAGAAGCTGGTTGGGGTGAGTGGGTTGTCCCGCGCGAGGACAAAGTACATGCCAAGGGTCTGGGTTTTGTGGACACATGCTGGTTGTCTATCAAGTCCGATGATCGTGCTGCTTTGGGGGGAGGCGCTTCGCAGAGTGATCATCATGAGTCATATCGCACTGATGAGTCCGTTTAGCCTCCTATGATTTTCTTGGCTGTTGGGTACTAGCTAGTGGGAAAAGTCGCAAGTTGGCATGTTGCTTCGGCCCATGAATTATACTTTACACATTTTAACAAGTAAAATATATATTACATTAGTGATGTTCTGCTGCCAGCAGGGCCTCGACAACTTGCTCATGACTCCAACACAAATACAAAGTAGAGCCGTTAAGGAGCGAGGGGGCTAAGCTAGGCAGAGCGGTGGAATCGGGAGAGCAATGAGGACGGGAGCAGGGCATAGGGGGGCAGGGAAGGGGGGTGCATGGAGGAAAACGAAGAAGGAGAATGGAGCAAAATTAGCTGAAGAGGGCAAGTGCACCATCGGCATCCCAGAGAGAACGACGGTAGCTCATTGTGCCAGCAGGGACACGAGAGCCACGCATGCAGAGTGGCGGGCCCGAAGAATAGCAAGGCTAACAAAGGGAATTGCATTGAACAGCATGTGAAAAAGGCAGGAAATCAAAATGTGGTGCCAAAGATTTAGAGGGGAACCTGAAGAAGATTTAACCAATAATATCTTAAAAGTGCAAACAAAACTGGTTCCGTAACGGGTCTTGAGACTGGTCCGGTCCTGCATATCATTAATCCTTTGGTTCCCGTCAAAGATTTATTGTGTTGTTAATACTCCTTCCAACTCTGACGGACGACGGAGGCAATGGCAGAGGAATGAGACAGCACAAAAGCAAGTCCACAATCCACAATGGCGCTTTACAGACGGGGAGAGCCGTAACCATGACATCTAATAAGCTTCTACTATCATTGACTTCACTCCAGGTCACTATGGAAGCCTTCTAGCTAGGCAAACTCATGTGTCAATCCGTTGGGTTCTTCGATTTGGACTTTCGGATTACTCATTCGCTCAAGACGATTGGATGCGGAGAGTTCTTACGGCAGCATTGGAGACCAGGACGCTTCGAACGCTTCGTATTGACGGAGAATGAATAGCCAGTTCCCATCATAGGAGTTTCGTAATCGGCAGATCGATTGTGGGTAAGTCTTTTTATCAGCCTTTTGAGGGCGCGACACTGACTTCTCTCCCTCATTGAATTCCTATAAGTATAAACAGGAGAGAAATCCAAGCTTGGCAAAAAGAGACTCGCGGTGGTTGAATCGATCGATGGAACGACTGGTAACTGGGACGACGTAAGCCTATTATCAAGAGTTTCATTGAAAATGCAGAACGGAAAGCCATCCATTTATTTCTATGGACCACGGGAAGCAGTCTTTCATTCAATCGATCGTACAGGATGACTTTTTTACCGCTGACAGGTGTCAAAATGTGAGCATTTTTGACAGTTATTTTTCGGTTTTAGGAAATGGGAACCCGGAAGTGGTCATTTCACGAATCTTGCATTGAAATGACTAGTTGGAATAAAGAAAAGATTGAAGCTAATAAAATGAATTTTATCAGCATGGCAACAGTGTTGACCAAATGGTATTAGCTTTACCAATACATTGAGATAGCTAATGTTTCAGAGGAGTAGCTCCCAACACACTCACAGACACTCCCTCTAAAAGCATTAGCTATCTCCAAGGTTTGTCATGGACCCTCTAAAAAAAAACAGGCTTGGATTGCATTTGTTGTCATTCTGCACTACGCTAAAAGCTAGTGTAAAGATCTTCGAGTGTTTTGGTTTGAGAGAATGAAAGTTATGAGAGGATTGAGAAAGCTATGAAAACTAATCAACGAGAGAGATCAATAAGGATCGTAGATTGAACTCCCGCGGGAGACTGTAAAGTGTGATAGAGTAGGTTGTGGTATAATCCTACTCGTTCCACAAATCCAAAACAGGAACGCGTGGAAGATTCGTCTAGCATATCTATAGCGTGGAAGTACCCAGCTGGCTAAATATCATAGCGCATGTTTCACATCAGACCTAGTATGACTAGCGGTCATGAGAACCCTGTCTCAATGACTATTCACGAGAGACTCAGTCATGAGTCGAACTCCAACCCTATCTAGGATCGAGTCGCGAATAAGGCTAAGAGCCGTGTATTGCATTCGCCCTGACAAGGGTCACAAAGGCACGACATCAGTCGGACAAGGAGAACATATGATTTAAAGTGCGGGGACTCTCCGAGATTGGATTTAGACATGTGCGTCGCAGATGGCAATCCTACAAGGGGATCAGGCCTTGTATGGGTGTAAATACCTTATGTTCCAAGTCTGGTAGACTGTGCCGCCATTGGGCGTGAGCATGTTGGAGCCGTACAGTGCCATTGTCATTGACTCGGTCTATAGTGTAAGGACATTTGTACTTTGGCTGACCGTACTTGCGGTGCTGATACTGTTGAATCATCACGGTATCGTTGACATTGTATTGATGAGGGACACGCGTCGCGTTCTCCCTATCGTTGTTCTGTTGGATGAGTCGTTGGCGACGTTCCTTGATGTACTTCCAGTTTGCTTCGAAACGGACGTTGTGAATCGCGTCACGGTTGAACACGAGCTGTGCAGGCGTTGCACGCAAGGTGGTATGAATCGTGGCGTTCATTGCGAAGCGAACCGCCGTGAGGACTCCATCCCAGGATCCGTTCACGAGGTCGTCTTGGCACTTGATGTTTTGAACAGCGATCAAGTTGCGTATGGTCTGATGAGCACGCTCGACCATGGAGTTGGCTTGAGGGTTGCGCGTGGTTCATCCCGGAGAGTCTTCTCGACCTCTGCGCGGAACTCACGTCCTCTATCCATGATAACCTCAGCCGGCCATGGATACCGAGTAAGCCACATTTGTTCTAGGACGACAGCTACTTCGTCTGCTGCCTTGGAGCAGATCTCTGCAATCTCGAACCATCCGGTTACGGGATCAATCATTGTCAAGCAATGAAGTGTACAGGAATTCTTTTTCTTAGGATCCCCGACGTTGTAGGGACCTATCAGGTCAATACATAGTCTTTCCCAAGGGATCTCCTCGCAAGTCTTTGGAGGCATCAATCCCAGCTTACGCGTCTTGGGTTTGTTCATCTGGCAGCTTTGGCAACGCTGACATACGGCCTGCACAGTCTTGCGCAGTCCTTTCCAGGTGTAGTGTTGGCTGATGGTTAGTTCTGTGCGAGTCTCGCCAGGATGCATCAGCACACCATGGTACCATTCGACTAGCTTCTTCTGCATAGTCTTAGGTACGACGATCTTATCGTCCTTAACTACTAAGTCGTAAGACTTATCCCCTCTGGGGAAAGATTGCTTCTTGTAGTCGTTTGGCTTGTCCCTGAGGAGTTTCTTGATATCGTTGTCGTCTTTCTGACGATGTTCGATCTCGGGGAACGAGAGAGGGAACTCGCTAGGGAAGTCCTCTTCGTCTGCAGCCATGAGCTCAGCGATCTCGCTGGCGTCCATTTGTTCTGAAGAACCGTCGTTGTTGGAGATGTTAAGTCTCGACAACGCATCAGCGACGATGTTCTGTTCGCCCTTGATGTACCGTAGTTCAGGGCCGTATTCTTCCAGAATAAGGCGCCATCGCATTACGCGATCATCGGTATTGAAGTTCTTACATGTAAGATTCTTGTGGTCCGTATGCACAACGATCTTCTGTCCCAGAAGAATGTTACGGAACTCTTTTAGAGTTTCTACGATACTGAGAAGTTCCTTCTCGGTAACGGTGTAACGTGTCTGAGCAGGGTTGAGCTTCCTGCTGTAGAACGCGATAGGTTTTCCCTTCTGGGAAATTACTGCACCTAGTTGAGTATCACTCGCATCCGTGTGGATAACGAATGTATCGTTGAAGTCAGGGTAAGCGAGCAAGGTTTCTTTGCTGATGATCTTCTTCATCTGGCTAAAGGCCTTGTCGTGTTCGGCTTCCCATTTCCACTTCGTTGTTTTGGAAGTCAACGAAGCGAGTGGGGCCAGTACATGTGATCGTCTAATCCACATGTCTCGATAGTAGTTCACTAGTCCAATGAATCTACGGAGTTCTTTTCTGTTGGTAGGAGGAGCGATATTCTGGATCGCGTCTATTTTCTTGGTTATAGGTTGGATCCCTTCTCGAGTACAGTAACTTCTGTAAAATGTGTTTCTTGCTCGGTACAGAGTGAGGCAATTATGTTGTATATATACTGCTTATATTCTCAACTTTATCGCTCCCCCATTGCCGAACAGCTCTGCAGTCTCTCGAGATCTTGGGTGAATCTCGAGTTCGAGCAGTTGGAATCACCCAGCACTAATTCGCACGTACTGGTATGCATGCAGGTATTTATTTACGCTTTAGCGCTGCCTGTACTCAAGCGCTAGCCTTCGAGTGTCACGGAAGGATCTTTTTGTTGCGCGTACGTCAGTAGAGGTACGTCGAGTTCGCATTGCGGAGCTGACGTCAGTCGTGGAGGTACGTGTTCACTTTAACTCGCTGTGCAGTATTCGCTCCCCCAGGAACGGTGAAGAATTCCGGGGACTATGTTGGAACGTTCTGTACGAGTGATACTAGTGTACGGTGTTCTGCATACGTACGTACGCAGGGGAACTGACTGTGGAGTACTAGTACGAAGTCGGAATACTAGTTTCTTCTCTTAACTCACGAGCGATTGGAGAGCCATCTGAAGGACTTAGACGTTGTGCACTCTAGCGTTCCGTTGCCAAGACCATGTCACGGGTGAAGAGTTAACGCGGTGAACTCCCCCATAGTCTGTGTGTATTAGCTAGATGAACGTCATATACTATTTACGAGTGAGACTTGACTGACTCACCGTTGGAGGTGAACTTCTCCCCCCAAGTCTTGTTATGGAGAATTGGTACGAAATGTCACGAGGAATTAAGACTAGCTTTCCTCGGAACGAAGGAATGCTTACGTATTTATGTGTCGTGCCTCTCTAGCCCTGTAGTGTAGGAACCACAGACTTGTAGAATGCATGAGAGTACTTATGGGCTACTTAACGAACTAGAGCATACTTAACTAGTGAGCGTTACCGACAGAGGTATGTTTCCTCGAGGTGGAAGCTATGAGATACTTATGTACCGAGTATCGAACTACAGGCCTCGAGACCATGTGCTACGGCACTACAGAGGATGACCGAGGGGAATCACGATAGTAGGGCTGACTGTTAATCCAGTAACTTCTGTAAAA